ATTCAAAGAATTGGATAACCTCATAGGTACCCAAAAATGGGTGACTGAAGTGGCAGTGGACCTTTTTGAACATCAGTCACCTCCTCATGGAAAATGTTCCTGTGTACTATTTCTGGCAAGAAGATACAGACGATCAGCCCTGCTTCGTGCGCCTATCCCCCACAATTTTGAAAGCATACCATGACACGTGTGACTCTCTCAATAAGACGGAGGTCTTTGGTAATGAAATGGTGGGATTCCAGGATGACATCACCACCATCAAGCAGTACAATGAATTCTTCCAGCTGAAACACACGCCTAACTCCAGGCTTTCCCTCTCTTTCTCTGACATTCCCCCAGATGCTGTCGTTTACATTTGCGACTTCGAAGGGTGGTCCACAAGGCTCATAATGGATGCTTCCCTTATCGGGGACTATCTAGCAAGATACCACTCCTGCATCAAAACAGACGAGAACACTTCCTACGTTACCATTTGGCATTGGAAACCATGCCATTCACTCACCAGAGGCACTCAATGTGCAGGCCAATGGGGAGCAGGCTTTAGCCAGGAAGCTCGAAGGGGAGACTGGGAGATTTGTGAACTGTTTAAAGCAGTACATGCCCCTATAGGCAAGGCACACTTCGATGAGTGTGGGAGGATAACTCTAGTCAGTAGGCTGGGTGACGTTTACGAAGGCAAGACAGGAAGCCCCATGGACACAGAGTCACAACACAATCAACAGGTCCTGCCTCGTCCTAGTTGGGTACCAGCCACACACCCACAGCTAGCAGTGCCAGTCCCAACCTCACCACTCAATATGGCCTCAAGATGGGTGCAGTCAATGATAGCACCATTGAGCCTTCCCAGGTCCAGGGCCTCTTCAGCAGCATGTCATTCACGCAGCTCAGGCGACCATGACTTTCATCGATGTTCTGCATCTCCAGAACATAGCCAGGCTGAGCCAAAGGACCAACTACCAGAGTGGCGAGCCTCCTACATCAAGGAGCTATGCACCTTGGGGGGCCAGTACGCTAATGACGCTGCCATCTGGGCTAGTAAGAAGCCCTTGTCTTGGAACCTGGACTACCTCGACATTGGATACTTGTTGCTGCCAGACTTGAGGGTGCAAGCACATCTATGCTACTGGGCTGCTTGTTTGCAGGATGCATCAACATTGGCCAGGATTCTTTTCAAGGCAGTCACCCATGGCATCCCTTTTGGTATCGGTGTTGGAGAGGTGCTGAGTGACACAGAGAGCATGTAGACATGAACGAGATGGTGGTATTGACTGGAGAACCTACAAACACAACATGACATGTAGATGTGTATGTAATGACCCTCTGACACCTAAGCGAGACCCCAAACACCAGGGGGATGGAGTATGCATCTGCCAGGATGCACTACTCCAGCATTAAAGTTGAAGATTTCGAATGGTTCAAGCCAGGAGAAGTCTCGGACACAGACCGCTTAGTGGGAAAGCTGACATGCATCATCGAGCCCCCATTTGCATACACGGCCCCCGGCACTTTGAGAGCCTATTACATGAGCAGAGTCAATGATATCATCCACTGACCACATGCAAGAGTTCTGATAAGCCTAGGGGGACCTGAAGCATGGCTAGGTTGCAAATGGGGTGGCTCTGAGCTAGTCGCACGATTCATGGAAGGACCCTCCCCAGATGTGTATTTACACAGGTGCGGTTACATTGACTTGGACGACGAACACCCCTTGTTCTTATACATGGACGAAATGAGTCCCCAAGAAGTGGACGTCCTTTTTGGGTGCATACACAGTGATAGTGACAAGGACCGTTCACTGTATCCATCAAGAGATATCCTTGACAAGGGTTGCTTTTTCTGGATTGGAGAGTGGGACAAGTGCATGGATGACATGTTCAACGATCTTACGAAGGACATCCTTCAGGGCTCAGCAAAATTCAAGACTCCAGGCATGTGGAACGATTATTTCCACCAGCTGAATCGCAGGCACTGCGGACCAAAGGAGCACCTCAACCAAGTGGTGCCCACGATGTTGGGCAAACTTCATACTAAACTCCTTGACGGATTTGCAGTCGACTGGCATAAGCGTCGTATCACCGATATCGAGTTGCCAGAGGAATATCGACCTTGTTGGATCAGAAATAGGGGGCTCTGTAAAGGGATAGAATGACAAAACACAAGGTATCCCATATTCCACTTCCTTCTACAATATTTCCTCCCCAACATTGCCTCATTCACAAGAACTCTCAGTTGGAACACTACACAGTCATCCCAGTCACGATAGTCACATTAGTCACACTCAGTACAATTCGCTTAGTCATGCACAGAATGATCATCTATTTTTCTATCTGCCATCTCTGTGCAAAAACCCATATATTTGAACATTGTCTTCATGACTCAAATACAGGTGTCTCAGAGAGGTCTTATCAGTGCCCCCCCTATTCCTGCAGGAATCCAGTCATTCCAGTGGAATTCTGGTGGAATGGAATTTAGCAGAAGGCTCTGCTAAATTGTTTATTCCGGTGTGTTCCATTCCAGTGGAATTCCGGTGGATTCCGGAATGTACACCGGAATGTTCCCCGGAATGGTGTTCCCCGGAATGGGCAGGAATGGTGTTCCCCGGAGTGGGCAGGAATGGGATTCCAGTCCAATCTGTTTATTTTATTTATTTGTTACTGTATTATAGTTTATTTATTTTCAATGGATCACAAACAATGTTTGTTTGGTGAACATGCTCACCAAACATGGCCACTCTCTTCTTCCACCACCACCACCATGCTCGTCACCGCTGCCAACGCCACGCCATCACCGTCACCCATAGCCACCACTGCCAACGTCGCTCCTCGATCA